GCTCGAAAGCCACTTGGCCCGCTCGCTCAATGGCTGAAATTGACCTTTTCGAGCACTTAAGCGTCCCGGCAGTCCATTAACCAGAACAATGAGCCAACTCTCCCACTCGAATGGCAAATGAAATATAATAAACATCATGAAAATCAATTCAATTAATAACTTTTCTAGTCATTAGCTACATTACGAGTGGATGCTCGAAGTACTTGTATAACTCAGTAAGCCTCTCTGTCGGTCACTCACTCTTTCAAACTCTCTCTCTCTCTCTCTCTCTCTTTGTTAAATCTGCAGTGCTTATCTGTAGCTTTAAGCATAAGGGAATACCAAATTGTCTGGCAGTTGATGTCAACTCCGATTGCCAATCGCATCTAAGAGTCGCATATTAACATATCAAACGAGCGCAGTTAGACGAAAAAACTAAAATTTTTGTTACTGTGGGGTAGTCGACTAGTAAATACTCTGGAATGATGCTGAATACCACGATCTAGAAAATCTGTGAGCGAAGTTGTTTAACTTTTATGACTAGATATACATATATTTATTAGTTATTTTTCCTCCGAATTTCTTTCCTTAACTCTGTTAGAAACTATATACCCCTTTAGTCATCTAAATGAGCATCGAATAGTCAAAAATTGCAGCATTGGCCGACAAAAGTGCGGCAAATTGTAAGGTGCAGCGAAAAAGAGACGTTAGAACCGAACTAAACTGCAACACACACACATAACATACACGCATTCACACACACACACAGGTACAAGAATGTCAGCACAAAAGAAAGCCACTTAAATGCAGATTACAATAAAGGAAGCATTTTGCAGCTGCCGGCAAACGAGTTTTGGCTTTGAGCTGAACTCTTTTATTTTTTGTTCTTGCCAAACTCTTTTTTATTTTTTTTCATTTTCTTTTTATTGGCCATTGTCTTTGGCTCTTTTGGCAGTCGCAGTGCGGTGCGGTGCGGAGGGCATATCAAATTGTCCGGCGGTCGTTTTAGCACCTTTAATAGTCGCCATGTGGCAAGCGCTTCAAAAATTATTTCAAATGCTTGTCAAAGCCATTATCAACAGCAGTGTTCCAGGTGGAGCATAAAGGGAATACTTCCGGAAGCAAGGCGAAAATATAAATCCTTTCTTTGCAGAGGACGCTTCAAGCTTAATGTCATTTAATTTTGTGATTCAAATGATGGTAAAAGAAAGCTAATAATAAAAGATTACGAGGCTAAATGCTGAAGAGCAAAGCTTAGCTTTAAATTGGTTGAATGAAAATTTAACAGTTGCCAAGTTCATTATTTCTAGACATGGAAATATAAATATAATTTTCGGGCTTGGCTTGCAAATGTTGATTTCTAAATATAGATGGTATTTCTGCTGCCACACACACACGGCGTATGCGTAACGTGTCTGAAAATGAAATGTCAACGAGTACAGGCAACGGCCGCAGCCAAGCCAAAGCACACATACTTGCTTTTTGTTGTACAGTGTAAACACTGGTCGTACATTCCTACTGCTGCCACTCGTAGTGCTCCAGAAGTGAATGCCAAAAACAAGTTTTAATTAAGACATTTGCTGGGCCAGAGCGTTCCGACATATTAATTTTCAACTGCCGCAAAGCAAAACTCTGGGCAAATGAAGCTGCCTGGATGGATGGACAGCAAACAACAATGGCAATAACAACAACAACAACAACTACAGTAATGTGCCAAGTGTGTGTGTGCAAAATGTAAGCACGAATAAATGTCGCCACAGACAGAACTGTGCAGACATTGACGAAAAGTAAGGTCTTGAGCCGAATGGGTGAAATAAAGTGGAAAATCCATAATTCAGAGAAAGTTCAATTCGACTCTTTAAGTTGCAAAAGGGAACTTTTTTGTATAAAAATTTTTATTCAAGCAGAGGACAAACGATTTACATTCATTTTGGAATAGTTTTTGAATATATATACTGTAAGCGATTTAAATTCATTTTGAATAATCCATTATGAATACTGGAGCTAGTTCATAAAGTTGAGTTAGATTTGGACAACTTATTCCATTTTGAATTGCTAAAAATTTGCTGCATATTCTTGGGCTCAATAAAAAAAGCATTTGTTACCTAGAGTAGTAGAGCGAGTTTCATAGCAGTCAGCTTTAAGCAGCAAGCAGCTAAAAATAATGTGGAATATATTTAAATTGCCTGAAAATTTCTTTTAATTTAAAGAGCGAATTTTTGCTAATTGGAAAACATAATCAGAGCAAACACATGCAAGCTTAACAAATCGCACAGATATTTATGGAGATAAGCTGCCAGCAGATGCGGCGTTGACGTTCTTAGATAAGCAGCACACAGTGCCTGAGCCCATATCATAGATGATAAATGTGATTATATATAAATATATATATATATATATATTTTTTTTTTTTTATTATTATTATTATATATAAGAATATTTTCGATAAGGATGTCAGCGTTTTAACTTCTATTTTTTTTCTAGCCTTGTCGCCAATTTTTCTGTGTTGAAGACGATATTTTGTTTAGCTGGCTTACCGGTTTATTTGAATCTTGTTCGGAGGTTCCACAAACAAACAAACACTTGTATATGCATATATAGATATATGTATCTAACCTCTATGGGCCCAACAAGAGCGAGAGTGTCTGGGCAAGTCAATGACTTGGCAGTTATTGGCTGTGGTCTTTCAACCGCAAATTTTTACATAATATTGTTGTTTTCTTTTCGCATATGTATGCATATACTCAAATATATATAATTATGTTTCTCTCATTTGCTCACTAAATCACTTTCAGCCTAAAGTCGCGAATTTGTGCTAATTATTTGTGATAACATGCGCTCAGCCAGCAGGTGCATGCTCATTTTTATTGATCCGGAATATATAAATAAATATTTGGGTAGAATCTAGCCGACACAGAGTATTAGAATCTTATTTGATTAGTTATTTTATTATTAATTTCTGGCTAAAATTTTGCTGGAAACCTTTTTTTTTTTTTTTTTTTTTTGTTAAAAAGTGCTGAGAATATTAATTTGGCAATAATAACTGGTATTTATAAATAAGTTTAATAATAAATAATAATGTAATTAATTTTAATAATTTTTTTAATATTAATAATTAATTTTAATATTTTAAAAATCAATTTTATTAGAAATTTGCTTGGCATAAAAATAATGCCGAGTACTTTAACGAGCACTATCCATATCACACATATTATTAGAATGTGTATGACGACATTTATTGCCTACTTTAGTAATATTAATAGAAATATGTGCAAAAGCTAATTAATCAATGCGATTCTATTTATCCAACTAATAAATATTCTGCTCTAATTAAGATAAATTCCTTAAAGCTAATCGCTTTATTTCCTATGTACGAAATATGTTAGATTCCAATCAAAGACACAATTTACATTCTGGAATCCAATCACTAGACAGCATAATAAAAGTAAAACTCACATTGGAACCGACTAGAATCTATAAACTCTTCTTAGCAGTCTGAACTTTCGTGTGCAATAGATAAGCGCACAGGCTTATTTGCAGGTAAACAAAACCTAAAACAAAAGAGAGTAAAGAGATAGATTCGAGTGGAAATTTCCTCGGCATTTAGGTAAATTGGCACAGCATAATTTTCCTAGCTCAAGCTTGCTGAACAGTGTAGAGCAGTGATGAAGTGCCTGGCTTAGCTCAGTACCTACACAACATGCTGTTTATATATTTCCACAGCTCTTCAGCCTGTTCCAGCGCCCAAACTTGTTTGAGTTTATGTTCCTAGAATAGTGGGGCGTGCATACGTGTCTAGAAAATATATATAAATATTTATGTGTGTGTGTGTGTGTGTGTGTGTGTGTGAGTGAACTGTGTGCCAAAGCGGCGATCGAAGACTCTGAACTATATTGCAAAAGAGTTAAAGCTTTGCTCACTCGCTCGCTAATTCTTCGACACACTTAGCACTTGCATTTTCATTGCTTGACTGGGAAATGCTGCCCGTATGAGAGAGAGAGAGAGAGAGAGAGAGAGGAGGCCACTGCAATTGGCAATTAAACTAAACTACATTGTAAGCCGGAAACAAAAACTCACTCAGCTAAGAGCTGCCGATATCGAAATGCCCTTGCATACGTGCTAATTAATCTAATGAGAACTGTTCTCACGTCAGCCTTGTATAGAATTATATTGCCATCTATCGAGAGTTAAATTAAGAAGTAAACAAAAAAATACATATTAAAATCCAAAAATACATAATAAATATTAGATATAAAAAGTTAATTTATATTTATCGAGAACATAGAACTGCAACAAAATGTATGCCATAGCTAATATAACCTCTTTTAGTGACATCAACGACCGACAAAAGCATCAGGTAGAGAAAAGAAAGTCACCCTGTCGATAAGGCAAGCGATGCTCACACACATATAGAGCGCGAGAGCATGAGCCTGAGCGTCAAATCTGTGTAGAAAAGAGCTCAGCGTAGACTCCGAAAATGCGAGAGAGTGCGTAACTTGAATGCTGTGTATAAATACGTGCGTCTAGCCAGCTGAGGTGTCAGTCGAGCAGTCGCAGGGCACAGAAGATCATCTAGTGGATCGAATCGATCGTGAATACGGCAGAGAAAAAAGAAGAAGAACAAGCACAGCGTCGTGGACAGTGAACTATATATACATAGAAACATATATAAATGTAAACATATATATTTATATGTAAAGTAGTGCGCGTTTTATTATTTTATTGCTGCCCTAGTAATATATATTTATATTCCGTTATATATATTTATTGTCAACGCGAAATCAATTTTCATGTCTTGCCAAAAATTTCCCAGCGTTCGAGCCAATGTAAATCGTTGATCGAAGCGCCGCAATGTCAGCTCTTTAACAACAATCAACAACAATATAAACAATAATTTTTAAATAAAATAATAGAAATTTTAAGTGAAATTAAAAAAAGATATACAACCAATATTCCCTTTAAGAACTTAACTATAAAATTATTCTTTATATAATTGTGAGCCAGTGGTAAATTGCATTGCATGGGCAACGTTATGAAAAAGAACTTACTAAAGTGCCACGCCCACAAGCAAGCCCAAAACCAACAACAATTGAAACTGAAGAAAATCGAAATCTATTTTATGTACAATAATCTGTGCAAGAGAAAAACTTTAACGCCCACAAATTTATTGACACTAAACACTCCAAGTGAATGAATTTTCCGCCGCAGCTAATTAAACAAAAATAAAAACAAATTTAATAATATAAAAACAAATTAAAAGTGAACAAAACCTTATTAAGGTAACTACTAATTAAAGGTAAGTTGAATGCATGTTTAACACAATTCGTGCCTAGCCGCGATTAGCTTTCCAAAGAAATGGGTATTTTCCCGCCGTCCAGAGTTAATGTGCATATAAATATATTCATATGGGTTTATAACATCCTGTCGCGCTGACAATCGAATTCTCAGCGGCATACTAATTATAATGATGCTCAGAGCTCTTAAGTGATCATCTTAATTACCAAAGAGAATAACAACAGTAGCAGCAGCAAATTGAAACGCATCATTAAATTATAGACGTGTGAACAGTGTGCCAATATGTAAATCAACTTCAGATCGAAACCTTAACCCAACAAGTTTTTTTTTTACCTTTTATTTACAACTGAGCTAGAAAATATTTACTTCCTCTAGCCCGACGTTAATTAATATCAATATATTAGCATAGTCCACCAATTGGTTAGCCGCATATATTAAACACATCATTTTCGACCTAGACAGAGCCCGATTACCCGCATTTATCTGACAATAAATATATGTGTATATGTATATCTTTATATACATATACACACATACATCGATAACGTGGCTGCAGATCTGCGTGATAAGGCGAAGCTTGTGACCTGCGGCTTATTTGAATCGATATGAAGTGTCGTGTCATAAAGCGTTACAGTGGGCGGCTCGACACAACTTTCGTCACTTCATAAATTGGCTTTTTGTAGTGCGATACCCTGTAAAAGTCAAATAGAAATGTGAAGTGAACAGAATATGAATTGACTATGTTAAGCGATAAAAAGTCAAATATTTTTGACCAAGATTCAGTTTTGTTTGCATCATAAAATAATTTCCTGTATTTTTATTCCTTAACTCAATCTACTATCAAATGATTTCCAGATTTTTTTTTTTTTTTTGATTCTTCAATTAATTTTTTTTTTTTGTATATATTTATTATATATTATTATTATTATTATTATTATTACATTTTTTAAATCGTATTTCTTTTTTAAGATCTGCAACAAAAAAATAGTTGTCTAAAAATAATGGACGATTTTCTTAAATTTTCAAATCAGGTTTTCGATATATATTTTAAATAAATATAAATGGAAAACTCTCTTTAATCTATTTTATATTCAATAAAAAAAATAAATAAATAAATAAGAAATTTATCATAAACTCTTTTATTTATTATTTAGATTCTTTTATTAAAAGCTGCAAATTAAATTCTTTAAAATAATTTTCATTATCTTTCGTTCAATATTCTTCCCTCTACAGGGTATCTTTTCCACGACTATTGACTTATTCTTCTCCAATAATATTTATAATTTAATTGTGTATTAATAAAATGCTATAGCTGTTCCCGCTGCTGCTGCTACTGCTGCTGTTGCTGCTGCTGTTGCTGCTGCTGTTGTTGTTGTTGTTGGTGTCATTAAGATTGTGATGCTTATACAAGGAAAATTGAGATATAAATTTAAACTACATATTGTCCGCCAATAAAGCACTTTATAGAAAATTTCTTATTGTGCAAAGTCTAAGCCGACTGTCTAAATTATATATAACCAAAGAAAAGTTCATATATGTATATATATATAAATATATATGTATAATATGTATATTTGTGTGTTTGCAATGTTTGGCGCTCGCATTACACACAAATCGCTATGAAATTGTTTTTGTTTACGTGATTCTGAGTTCGGACTGAAGTTCAGCTCTGATTACACGTACAACAAAGACTTGGGCGATAAGCGTTATATTTCAATATCAATTATTGCATTTTTCATACGTAATTAATTAAATGTAGACGTCGAGATTTGTGACAGTTAGATCAAATGCAGTGCCAGCTTCGAAATGGGCAGAGCTGGCAGCCTTGCGTCGATTGAATGAATTTTTACACTCGGAGAAAAATAGTAGGAGATATGAATTTTCTAGGTAGTTAAATAATTTAAAAAATTTATTATTTTTATATAATTTTATGATTATAATATTGAAATTCATGTAAATTTTTCTAATTTTTTAAATATTTTTATCATTATTTTTTTTATTAATTAATTTATTTATTTATTTATTTTTTTTTTTTACTGTGCTCATAATTTTTCCAAAGACTCCAAATAAAATGCTTTTGTCATAATTTTGCCAAGTTTATATTACATGTATAGCACTTCTTTCTCTGAGTGTAATTATTTACAGCATACGCACACAACTCAATTAATAACAGATATTCGCCAGCTGCTTCTTTAGACGTGCCGAGACATACATTCCGTTCAATTGGATTCAATGTCTTACGCTCAAACGTTTCGTTTGTCTCAATGTCTAGAGCATAGAACTTTCCACACACACACACACACACACACACACAGATACAATACATTATATGTATAAGCTGACATATATACACTTTACATTTTAGCTGCAGTTTGAATCAAACCCTCAACATGGTTGGTGTTGCCGCCGATCCATCGCAGGCCGCTCAATTATCATCGGCCAAGAATCCGATGATTAAGTATTTGCTGAAGCAACGCGAGAGTCATGCACGTGCCCAAGATGCGGACTATTCGCATGTGTTTCGCCGCAAGACACGCTTCGAACTATTTCGCCTGTCCGCCATTGCGATGGCCATCGAATTTGCTTATGCGGCCGAGACAAGTTTCGTTTCACCGATTCTTCTACAAATTGGTATCGATCACAAGCACATGACCATGGCCTGGGGCCTGTCACCGTTGATTGGTTTCTTTGTCTCACCGCTGCTGGGCAGCATCAGTGATCGCTGCAAGCTGCGCTGGGGTCGACGTCGACCCATTATCACACTGCTGTCGCTGGGCATATTCCTTGGCCTGATTTTGGTGCCGTACGGCAAGGAGCTAGGCGTCTGGCTGGGCGACGTGGGCTACAATTACTCGACTGCAAACTATGGCAACGAGAGCTCTGTGTCGGCGGCGGCTCTGCTGTCATCCGAAGCGGCGCCGGAATCGGGAGCCTCACCTGGAAACTACAAGTTCGCTGTAATCTTAACCATCTTGGGCATGGTGCTGTTGGATTTCGATGCAGACACCTGCCAAACGCCGGCTCGCACCTATTTGCTGGACATGTGTGTGCCCGAGGAGCAGCCAAAGGCGTTGACTACGTTTACACTCTTCGCGGGCTTCGGTGGCACCATTGGCTACGCCATTGGCGGCATCGATTGGGAGACAACGCACATTGGAAACGTGCTGGGTGGAAATATACCCACAGTGTTCACACTGGTGACCATTATCTTTGTGATTTGCTATTTGGTAACGGTGACAACGTTCCGTGAGATTCCGCTCGAGTTGATCGAACGCGATGAGCTGCTGCGTCCGCTCTCCTGTTCGGCCATCAAGAAGGAGCTGAAGAAGAACAACAATGCCATTTACTATATACAAGAGAACTCCACGCTGGACGAGCAAATGAAGGCGGCTGCTGTGGAGCCCATCGCCAGCTATCAGAACAGCCGATTGCCAGCGATCAGCGATAAGCTGAAGAGGCCGCAGGACCTGGAGTTGCAAGTGGACGATGAGGCACCGATCTCGTTGCGCGGCTATCTGAAGAGCATCTTCATAATGCCCTACTCGATGCGCATGCTGGCGCTGACCAATCTCTTCTGTTGGATGGGTCATGTCACCTATTGCCTGTACTTCACCGACTTTGTGGGCGAGGCGGTTTTCCACGGTGATCCCACAGCGCCGCCCAACTCGGCGCCGCTGTTGCTGTACGAGGAGGGCGTACGATTCGGCTGCTGGGGCATGTCCATCTATGCCTTCTCCTGCTCCATTTACTCGATGTCTGTGACGAAGCTGATGAAGTGGTTTGGGTATGTATTAGCGTGAAGGGAATGCGAATCATGTGTAATTAACATCATTTCCATATTCCCACAGCACCAAGGTGGTTTATATCAGCGGCATGGTCTACTATGGCATCGGCATGCTGATCCTCGGTCTCTGGCCAACGAAGTGGGGCGTTTTGGTTTTTAGCACCTCGGCGGGCATACTCTATGGCACACTCTTTACCATGCCCTTCATACTGGTGGCCAACTATCATGCCAAAAATTGTGTATGTACTAATTTACTTAGCATATCTGCCTCTGCCTCCCTCACAATCTCTCTCCCTTTCTCTCTCTCTCTCCCTCTTATTTGCCTTGCAGTTCCGCGTCCATAACGGCGAAACTGTTCCGCTGAAGCAGGCCCGCGGCCTGGGCACCGATGTGGCCATCATTAGCAGCATGGTCTTCATAGCCCAGTTAATTGTTTCACTCAGCGTTGGCCCACTCGTCGCCTGGATGGAGACGACGTGCGCCATTTTGTATGCGTCGACATTTTTATCCTTTGCAGCGGCCATTGCGGCCATGTTTGTGCTTTATGTCTAAGGCTCAGCTCGGTCGACTATTATTAGATTATTTATGAAGAAATATGTACTTATGTATGTACATGCATGCATACATACATACAGATGCACACATCTTGTTTGATATGCAAACAAAATTCGTTGCCTACTTTCAGGCATTTGATTATAGCTATAGAGATTATAACGGTATACTTTTGAGTGCGACGACTTGAAAGGTAAACATTGATGTTATCACTGTTATAACAGTTTCTTTGCCGAGCTATATTATTATTAAGCTTGCTTTAAGTTAATAAACGTATTCTTAGTACCAAAGTACATTTGATGAGTTTAATCATTTTTATATTAATAATAAACATATAAATATATGAGAAATATATATTTTTTAAATATTTTTTAATATTATTAAGGTTTATTGAAGCCATACCTGGTACTCCTGTAACCCCTTTATTATATTTGATTTTACATTCTGAGTTCTGAGTTCCTTTTATACCCTCTCTACCCGCTGCAATGGGCGTGTGGCATTATTTTCCATATTTTAGTATAAATAATATATGCATATCTCTAAATTATATTCGTTGTTAATTACTACTGTCACTCAATCTAATCATTAGCAATTTAGTATAATTTTTTATGTAGTCTTTGTTGTTAGTTAGTTCGTTTTAGTTAGCAAAGGCTTGACTTGGATGTAAATAATTGTTTAAAGTTTCAAATTGATCTGCACAATGAGCGCAGTTTGGTGATTCTCAATTGTCTCTTGCGGCTTTGTTTTACCTTGCTAGACTAGGGAATGAGCAAAGTGGGCATTAATACATCTCTCTACCCTTACTAGCAAACAATCATAATTTTAATCATTGACCAATTGCAGTATTACCTTATCTAAACATATAACGCAAAGCAATATAATTATCTCATATGTTATTCCAAAAAAAAAATGAAAGATTCTTTATATTCAATTATTTATTTCTTAAGTAAATAATTACTTAAGTCAATGAGCTCAAGTGTAACAAGCGGCACCAGAGCCGCAAAGAGCAACGAAAGCGATCACGAAATTTCATTTCAGTTTTGAGCTATATCGGCTAATGGCAGCAAATCAGTGTTTGACTTTTTTTTTTTAGTTTTTATCAAACTAGTTTTATTACGTAAAGCATCATCAAAATCCATTTTGAAATTTGTTTTACATTCGCTTTCTATACGCACTATTCGCCCACTTAGAACATCGAACGAATTTGTGAACTGAACCTGTCATTAATTCAAAGTGAATTAATTAATGAAACTCGTTTCCTTTTGCTTACATCACAAGCCATATGAATTTCATTAACATAATATATACAGACAATGCAAAATTCATACATATTTTAATAGAAACCAAAATTGATCTATGAAAGACATATAATAAAGTAGGAAAAATAAATAAATAAAATTAAAACAAAATAAATAAACCAGTTTGACATTATGCTAAAACTAGCTTCTTTTGTTGGCTTTATTTAGTGTAGCTCTAGACTATTATATAATATTTGCACATTTTGTGGTCAATTATCATCTGATATTAAAATGATGTGTAAGATATATTATATTGGCATGCTTTGATTGCATTCAAATTAATTATTATTGCAAAGACATTTTTCACAAATTGCCTTGAAGGACATTTCGAATTTCATTAAAAAAGCTCCACATTTCAATCAATTAATCGTTTGTTAAATGCAAATTATATTTGTCTTTAACTGAATATTGATTCTGAATCTTGATATTTAATCATAATTAAAATAGGTAAGAGGTTTTCTTTTTTCTGATATATATAACAAGTATTATATTATTATCATCATACATTAGGTGAATTCCATTTCCAACTAAATTTACTAGTTGACCCTTATCAACAATATATTTTGTATACTCTATGAAGACCATCATCTTTCCGTCTATCAGTTACGTACATTTGAGCAACAGCAACAACAAAGAATTGTCTCAGCTTGTCACCTTAAGAGCTTGGACCCTCCTACCGCCCCTTAAGCCCGTCCAACAATGGAAAAGAGAGCGGATATTAATTTTTACGCTCGTGCATGGCATTTGAATGCAATTTTTAATTTCCTCAAGTGCACTGCACATACCCTCTAACAAATGCTGCAAACAGGTATGCTAAACGTGATAAAAATAAATTCAAGTTAGTCCAAATTAAGAATTTCTGTTTGTTCAGTATGTAGAAGAATTCGCTTCTTCTGTTTCTTCACATATAGAATTCATTATTTTCGGTCACAGCGCAATTTCCAGTCGTGCAATAATTTGTTCTTGATTATTAAGTAGCCGCCCAGCTCTAGCCAATTTCCTTAGCAGCAGCATATGCCACGCCCGATTCCGGTAGCAAGTGCAAATCTCATAAGCACTCAAAATGCAGCGACACAGTTGAGTGATAATTTGTGATTCGTAAAAGGCCATGATGTGATGGAAGTGAGAGATATACATATACCTCATGATAAGGTCTTAGCTCGATTCCAGTGAACATCAAAACTGAAATTGTTCCGCACAGACTATGCGCGGTGCATTAAATTGAAAAGTGCATTTCAGATGCAGTGTTGTAAAGTGCCATGAAATCCGTTTACAACTTGACCTGTCGAACACTCAGCTGAAAGAAACTTTGACTGTAAAAGGCATAAGCACGCCACTACAAATTGAGTTTATCAGCGACCACAAATCGGAGAGAGGAAGCGCACACATTCACTCATCATAAGAGACAGGCATATCCGGTCGCAGCGCCCATCCCTGGAAGCATTTACATTTGTCTTAAGCTCACTCGCAAATCCAGCGCAAAGCGCAAGGAGATGAGAGTGGCACAGCAAGAGCCAAAAGCCAATAAACAAAAGTCCCGCACACAATATCAACAGCATCAGAGAAGGTAAATTCATTTTAGATTCGATTGCTGCGTACACCCCTCAGCCAAATGGGAGACATGTGCAACATTTATCCTAGAAATAATCCAAGCCCGGCGCCAAAAGCCCCATAAGTCCAAACCGAATACACTCAGCCAGATTTGAGTGCAACTCCCGCTCCAGCTTCAGCTCCTTCAGCTCCGCTAGCTGGCTGGCTTCTTGTCACAGTCGAAGTCAAAGCATGCATTAGCATTGTTTACCTGACTCGGATCGAAGGATATGGCTCTAACAATAAAGCAATGAGTGAAACTGACAATTGTGCCAGGATATTACGAGACGGGCTTTTATGCTTAACTGTTGCTGCCAGCGCCAGCCCCGTTTGGCTTTTTTTTTACGTGCCGTAGCACTGCAGTCAACGTTCGATGCGAGCCAAGTCATAAAATGCTTGCCCAAATCATTTCGGAAACTTGACATACTATTTGCCTTTGTATGTGTTTACTTCTTTTTCTGTTTTGGCTTGACATTTACGTATCGTTGAAACCGCCGTCATCAATTGATAGTTGAGCTTGAGAACTTTGAATGGAGCGTGCGTGATGATTGTAAAAATGAAGACTGTTCATTTGCTGAGGTTGTGTTAGGGCATAGTTGAGGAAACCTACATTAAATATGATTAAATGAGGAATAAATATCGGGGCAAATGTACTTTAACAGGGTATGCCTGCCTAAGAGATACCCCTGAACTCTGTGCTGAGCTGCTATTCCAAGTGCATAGGGCAAGAAATATATGCAAAGACTTTTACACGTTCTGCCAAAAATAATGTAGGGTATATTATGCATTATAATCCCGCTAATACAAAAAAGGGCATAGAATTTATCTTCGATTTTTCGCGATATCGAGACTAGACTGTATAACTATATAGATATTAAATATAGTTATATATAGTAACTTTCGATCAGAAAATATAACTTTAAATGTGTATGTAGAATGTATATTATACATACATACATATTTTGATATGCTCACCCTTCATATATGTGCGTATTTCGCATTACGATGAAAGCTTGTTGAGGTTGATCCCCATATATTCTCATAACACTTTGCGGCTTCACACATAACTTGGCACCTCGGTGAGTCCTAATTTATATGCAAATTGTCTCGTATAATTTTTTATCAGTTGCGCTTAACTCTTTAGCTTGCTTTAGTTTACTCTTATTTATTTTTTTGCTGTTGTTTATTTTGCATTATTCTTGTTCTTTACTTTTTTTTTGTGTGTTGCTGCCGCAAGCGTGCGCCATTTAATAAACATCACATGAAGCAGAAGCAGCAGAAGCAGCAGTAGCAGCGGTAGTGGCAGCGGATGCTAAAAGTAACCAAAATAGCGTTAGCAACTTTTTAGTTCCCCTTGCCCTGGCAGATCCGCCTGAAGTCATGTCAAACAGGGCGACATTTGCAATAACGGAAAATAATATGCAAATGCAATTATGAATCGCATCGGCAGCAAGTGAAGCGATAGCGCAGACCATAACACTTCTGACTGGCTATATTCCAGCAGTATCAGCAGCACATAGAGAGCGACAGAGATACAGCGAGCGAGAAAGAGAGGACGCAGTAGGATTATGCATTTGGTTAAGTTTAAGCTTTCTTGCATAAAATATTCAGCTCATGTTAACTAGTTGTAAAGTAATGTTTTATATATATAAAGACTATAAAGACTTTAGCTATCCCTTAGTTATGTATTAGCAAATTAAAGACATTAAATAAGTTTTTAGCTTAGTTTTCATGATGCGTTCAATCTCTAGAAATATTGTGTTTAGTTAAATCTGAAATCTTCATTTTCTTGTATGTATTTACTTAATTTCTCATTCTAGTTGAGCTATTGGAAATAACTTGCAGCAATAATGCTTGGAATATTTAAAAAGACAATATATAATGCTCGCACCTATGCTCCGCTACAGGACGTATACGTGTTGGGCATAGATAAAAATTGGTCGGCAGTGGCTAATCAGAGCAACTTATATGTGCCATAAATTAGAAGGCGACAGAACGGCATCCGTTAAACATTTTGCCGCCTGTGCAGCAGGCGGTGTGTCCCTTTGTGGTTGGTTGGGTGTTGGCCATGACTCGGACTGCCTTTCCCTCTATCTCTCTATCTCTCTCTCTCTCTCTCCCAGCCCTCTTTCAGTGTGTAGTCTGGGCTGATGCATGAAATGTAATAAATTTCGTTATCTATGCATTATTTATGCCGTAATTTGGTATTTTAGCCCAAAAACAGAAAAATGAAAAGCGTCAAGCGGCCTGGCAGCCATCCAAACAGTAGCGAGCCAGTCCATCTACCTATCTCACTCACACTGGCCCGCTGCCTTGCTCTCCCATTAAGCTTCGCCTCTCAACCAAAAATGGCGTCGGGTCAACATTACACATTTTCACCAATTTTCCTGTTACTTGTACACAGCATACATAGTACGTATGTGTGTGTGTATATGTGTATGTGTGTATGTAAAGACGCATAAATAACACTTACAGCATTTCGTTTTTCAGATGTGTACATTATACATGCAATATACCTATATATATGTATATAGTATATACATATAAACATATATTTACTATATGTCTACTATTCAAGCGATAGTTTGTGCAGCTCTTAAGCTGTGACCACTTTCCGTCCATTTAATAAATTTTTCAAGTTCTCCTTTTTAAATTTCTACGAAGAAGTCAGCTCTAGCTGTGCACATCCTAAAGGAAACACATTGAAATTCTTGAAAAAAACATTTATTTATAGTTAACTTTTAATAAAGCATCTTAGGCAACGGGCAAATGAGCGCCTTGTGGCTGGAATCCGTTCTCATCGGCAATGTATTGAACAGAGTATGTAACACCATCATCGCCGATATACTGGTACGAACCCTGAACAGAAAGAGCCTCACTATCTGTGCCAGCGTTCAGCAGTTTGGCTGTAGCTTGAGCTGAAGTGCCATCGGATGTCTCATAACTGTAGAAAAGAAACAAAAAGGATTAGTAAATACTTTACGGTATGCTATGGATGAACACATACGCATAGTTGTAGCCTTCAGGTCCAACATCCGAATCCGACCTCACGATCTGTACAGTTGCCTGCTGTTGTGCATTGAGGGGTGCAGCATTCAGGTGTGCAACAACGGCGAAGAGAGCGACGAAAGCGATCAGGAATTTCATTTTTAGTTGAGGCTGTAGCGCGTTTGAGATATCAAAGGTAACTATGCTAACATCTGCTCATCGGAGCCGTATTTATATCAAAGTTTGAAAACTCTTTGTAGTAGACCAAACTAGTTTTATAGTTTGGTATTGAAAGCAAAAAATGTTTTAATGTTAATGAATAGCTTAAAACTTGTTATAAGATTTTATGGACTTCACAAGGCGAAGGCGTGCAGACAAATAGACTAAAATACATATGAGCATAATCTGTGCATACATTATAGATAATTTGATAAATAATGTGTATTATTTGCGGCGATTTTTGATGACTATAAATTTATTTAAAGTGCAGCTCAGATCTGATTCTATCTCTTTTGCACTCAGACGATTTCAATTAGCAACGATAGTTAGTCTTACAGCACACGCCTCATGTCTGCATATGCGTATGTATATATGTATATATACTATATATGTATATGTATATATGTATATGTATATGTATTTGTGTCCACTATCACTTTCAGCTTAGAGATAAGCAATCGGTTGACAACCGGCACACTCTGCGTGATCTTGACCAGACTCAAACCAGGTCCCAAATCTAGACTGACCAAGGTTATGGCTATGCCAATAGCTGCTTGACTACTCTGCCATCTTCAAATATATATTTGTTCAACTTAACATTTTTTTCATTGTTTTTAATTAGTGGTTTCAATTTTCTTATCATCGAAACGAAATCAAGCGACTTTTTGTAGATTATTGTAATTTTCGTATACAAATTTTACTTAACTTAAAAGTTCTATTTTTGTACAAAATTAACATCTGAATAGAGGTTCGAAAATAAAGCGATTAAAAATATTACATATACAATAAATATTCATTTGCGTGTATTTCTTTCTTATATTTATTTTTATTTGATAATTTTTTATAATTATTATTGTAAATTAATTTTTATTTAATATGATTTATCGATTTATCTACAGCCGATTTAATGAAAATACATATTTGCTTAAGTCTTTTTATTTAAAACTACTTTTATGGATGATATAAATTGTAATTTTATTTTTCTATATTAGCTTAATTATAAATTTTGAAAATTATCCTCTTTTTCATTTAGCAAAATTTTCAAAAAATTGAATATAAAGAATTGTCAAAGAAAAATGACAAAATATTAGTTTGTATTAATAAAGGCGCCTAACGATGTCGATTGTATTAAGTCGTATATATAAATTTTATTTAGGTGTTTCTTGTTTAAATAATCGAAAGCAAAAGCTTAATGAAGCGTTATTTATCTGAAAGTGATCAGAGAATTTTACTATAATTTACGAAGAGGTGCACTTCAGCTGTCTTTTAATAATAATATTTGTAGCTTTCAAGTCAATAGCAATCTGACGGTAGTTGAAAATTAAAAACAGGTGAAGTTTGTAAAAAACATTTATTATATTTAATTTATTTAGGATTTAAGGAAACGCATCTTAGGCTTCAGGTGCGACGGGCAAATGAGCACCTTGTGGCTGGAATCCGTTCTCATCGGCAATGTATTGAACAGAGTATGTAACACCATCATCGCCGATATACTGGTACGAACCCTGAACAGAAAGAGCCTCACTATCTGTGCCAGCGTTCAGCAGTTTGGCTGTAGCTTGAGCTGAAGTGCCATCGGATGTCTCATAACTGTAGAAAAGAAACAAAAAGGATTAGTAAATACTTTACGGTATGCTATGGATGAACACATACGCATAGTTGTAGCCTTCAGGTCCAACATCCGAATCCGACCTCACGATCTGTACAGTTGCCTGCTGTTGTGCATTGAGGGGTGCAGCATTCAGGTGTGCAACAACGGCGAAGAGAGCGACGAAAGCGATCAGGAATTTCATTTTTAGTTGAGGCTGTAGCGCGTTTGAGATATCAAAGGTAACTATGCTAACATCTGCTCATCGGAGCCGTATTTATATC